TATTTATTACGAAGAATTCAAAGTACATAGAAACATTCTGTGCCAGCTTTCTAGGACTGTAGACCAGCTTAACAATGTCTAACGCGACAGTCGACGCGTTGAACGTGACATTTACGAGTAGGGTCACAATTTTTCATATTCTGGCCGCCACCCAAGTCGAGGAATAAATAATTATCGCGAAAGGTCGAAGAAGACGCTTCGCTCAACATATCCAGCGGGTCCGACAGCTTCCCTCCAAATACGGAAACCCCTTGAAATTGACCTGGATGTTTCCCAATTCGTTTCTGCAAATTTCCCATTTTAATTTGCGAGCGTTGCCCTCGTTTCCTTTTGCTCCCTTTATATCGGCCGGCGTTTCTTCGCTTGAAGGCGGAAAGAAATTCCTCGAGCCGCAGAAAAATCGAAATCCCGCCTTCAAACAAGAGTTGCGCGAAACAAAAAGGTGGTAATTAGATGCCCGGTTCTGTACCTTCCAGGAAAAAATAATTAAGCAAAGCCGAACGAAAGTTCTTATTTCTCGACAATCTATCAGGTAACCAACCAGAGCTACTAAGAGTTAAGACCTTTAGGAAATAATAATTCTATTTATTTATCTCAACGTTTCTTTTTAACTAAAGCAATTCAAATTTTGATGATTTAATACTTTTAGTGTAATAAATGTTCGTTTTATAGCACAATGATGATAGAGTTATATAGTATATAGTTCTCATATCAATAACTTCAAATTTAAATAATAATATAAAATAATAAAAAAACGAGTGCATAGTAAATATGCATTAATAAACTTTTATAGAATATAGGCTTCTTATTATAGTATTTGTTTTGTTATACACTTGATACAATAATTAATTAACCCTAAATCTAATGAATGGATATTAGATATGAATTAATAAATCTTTATACAAAATATCTACTTTTCATAATGTACCTTGTGATCAAAAACTATCCGGAAGTATCATATCATAGAATTTCTCGATTCGTTTCCGCAAACTTCCCATTTTAATTTGCGAGCAGCGTCCTCGTTTCCTTTCGCTCCCTTTATATCGGCGAGCGTTTCTTCGCTTGAGGGCGAAACTGGGTTCCTTGAGGCGCAGGAGAACCGAAATCTCGCCTTGAAATAGGCGCTACGCGAAACACGAAGGTAGTAATTAGACGCGCGTGTGCAACACGTGCACGTGTCACTAGTGGTACAGCAGCAATGATTCACGGTCTTCTTTGTTATCACCGTCTCCCACGCGAGTACAATTTTTTTCACTTTTCTCTTTTCCTTTCTTTTCTTTTCTTTCTTTTTTTTTTGCATCCGTGATACCACGCCAGCTACACGCTCTTTATTCACACGAAGACTTACGAGTTCCGTATTTGCCGTAACACGCGAAACCAACGCGCGCAGCAGACAAATCAGCCCCGCTTTGCTCGAAAGCGGAACCGGTGCAGATTGTCCAGTTTCATCTCATTTGAAAAGTACACGTGGAATTTATTGCAAGGGTGACGTATGCGGGTCGGGGGAATAAGAATAGTCGAGCACGTTGCGTTTCGACTCTAATTTTTCGGTTCTTTCTCGAAATTTGTTTCAGTGGTGCACACATATATTTTTACCATTAGAATATTTTAGATTCCTCTGCAATTATTTGTGAGGGACCTTAGGAAAGCTACCCTTAGTGGAACGCGTTGCATTTGGACTCTAATCTTTCGCTCCTTTCTTGAAATTTTTTTCAGTGGTACACATCTAGTTTTTTTTAACATTAGCATTTTTTAGACCATTGAAATTTTTTACATTTATTTGTGAAATGAAGGGAAAGTTAGGGAAGTATGTATTAGGTTGTCCCAAAAGTTTCTTTCGTTTTATTAATAAGTAATTCATACACAATATTTTATGTCTAATGATACATTATTGAATTGTGTACGATTCATTTTGCTCCATTACTGTTACAACATCAACATCTAAGAAATTAGATTATCTATTTATATAAACACTACCGCACAAAATAATTGAGTGCAAATTACGAAAGAAACTTTTTGGACAACCTAATATTTACTCCGTGTAGTTGTTCGATTTTTATTTTTCCACGGAGAAGATATATTTCATAAATTTCTGAGCACGAAGGACAGAGAAACTTGGAAAGTCGGCTATCCCTGACCTGAAGGTGTGAACCCTCGAGAGTACTTCTCATTTTTAGAGTGCGCTGTCGAGAGTACGTACAGTACCATTCATAATTATTCAAATGACTATGTGGTGGGCAGAGCAAGGATTTTAGATACGAACCATATACAGGGTGAGGCATTTAAAACTGGCGACATGAATAGTTCACTTACTTTTAGCGATAGAAAAAAATGTGTCGAACAAGAGTTGTTCGATTTCGAGGGGCACGAAACGCGGTGCTAATCATTTTTTTATCAGTGGAAGCGTAGAGGAGATATGAAGGTGGACTCCGTTTTTTTTTTAAATAGAACGTATAGTTTCTTATACACCGTTGGATTCATATTTTTGTAGGATCTTTGAAGATGATTCAAAACTCAGACTAAAACATAAAACTAAAACGTAGTTTTCTTATGAATTATAACGTAAATAATTAAAAGGTATAAGGAAAAAGAAGGCATCCATTAATTTCTATGTTGTTAAGGAACCACAACGCAATGTGACTCTGAAGGAGACAATTTTAAAAATTTATAACATACATATTAACTCTGACAATGTATTATTAAACTGTAAAAGGCAACTGTGAACTTGTCATAAATATATCTGTCTTCTATAAATAAATCTACACAGTTTACCTGAAAAGAAATAGAAAAATAATATGAATTTCGAGATGACTACATACCTAAAACATAATTATGGACTTTAATTTTCTCTCTTTATATTTCAATTATAAAACAGAACTAAGAATGCTCGTCAAAGCAGTTGCAATTATCCTCTGATGTAATATTTTCTAACCACTGGAACAATGTACGAATAACTATTACATTGTAGTAGATTAACACGTTAAGCAAAGCGGAAGTGGAGCATATGGGGATTCAAGTTACCAGAAATTCCCGAAGGATGGAAAGCTGCGGCTTAATCAAGAGAGCTACGTGAAACACGAGTTCAAAGGGAATTGCATACACGCTTGCGGATTTCATCAAAGTCTATAATTAAATCTCTCGGTCGACGATGCACTTTTATTGAATCGCACAAACGTATGGATATATGTTGCATTGGATTATGTGCATGTCACGTTGCTATCGAAAAATATTGTTACAAAGAAGCGCATTTCGGATCAACTGAAACGAACCCGATACCTCGAGTTCAGAGTTTGAAAAACCTGATCCTCGTGCCACTTAAAGCGAAAGCTACGTTCATTAACAAAATTCCTCCTCTGTCCCTGTCAGATTCCCATTACCGATTAAATTAATGGAAAACGGAAACCTGATAAAAGTATCGTTTTCAAAGTATTACTAAAATTGATATTTCTGAGCCGAAAAATCAAATTGAAAACGACAATGGTTGGTGCGAATATTGTTATTTAGAATTATATTGTTCTAAATGGTAATGCTTACGTTTTATAAATATTTATACTAATTTAATTGCGTTTAATTTAATTTAATTTAATTTAATTTCTCTCTCGATCTCTTTTTACTAATTTATCCGATTCATCTTTTCGACAAAATAATGTTAAAGCCACTGGAGAAACTGGAGATGGAATAACTTTTTAAACCACCGAATAATCACTCCGTTCCTGCTTATATTCACACGCTATTATACATGTGATATTATCTCGTAATTTTTTTATGGACTCAACTTTTGAGATTAAAACTCGAGTGCCTTTTTCATAATTTCGCGAAGGAAAAAAATTAAAAGATATACGAGACATAATTTCCCCAAATTCCTGCAGTTTATATCTAGACGCTTAAATTAGTTCTTACAATTACACTGTTTTATAACATTACAGAGAGTAACGTGTCGCTTAATATGATTGATAAACCATCCCTAAGCAGGACCATAATGTAAACGAATATTAAAGTAAATAGTTGGAGATAGTATTTGGTATATACTTATTCTCATTATGTTCTTGTTTCAATTATTAATTTTGGAACACTTTTGCACTAATTAGACAGGAAGAACTAATAAAACGGAATATTGATATATAGTGTAGCACAGAATTTCAACATAAATCTTACATATGTATATCATTTTTAAAACAATAATATCAGAACTATGACAATTATACTTACAATTAGACAAGTCATAGGGGACTAGTGCTTTGAATATACTAAAATTTATTACTACGCTACGACAAATATTTCTTAATCACGACGTTAAATAATTTTTCTTTTCTTTCATATGCAAAAGAAAAAATATAAATTATATTATATTATATAAGACAGACTAAAATAATAGATAACTCTTGGAATTCAGTTTCACAAAAATATCGTCTAAAACCAATATCACTATTTCACGTTAAAATTGTTTATAATATTAGGGGACCCGAAAGTAATGTTGTTTCTACGAGTGTCAATACTTATTTATCATTTATCAGTTCGTTATGTACCAATTGATTTTTATCGATCAGGTATTGAAAATTGGCACACTAGATAGCAAAAGAATGTTGATAACGAGGTCGATTACATACTTTATTAAAAATAAAAATATTAATATATATTAGAGGACCAGAAAGTAATGTCGTTTCTTTTACATTCGATTCAAACAAATAAGTTTACAATATATTAATATATTCGCCACAACTACGATAACAAACATTTATTTTCTTATTAAAAAACGAAATCCTAAATCTCCTATTTAGAAAACCCATTATTAACCCCGAAAAAGAAGATTGGATGCATTTAGCGTTAATAAAGCTAAAGAATGGTTCACGATGCTATTTACTCTGTTTATTTTATTGTACAAACTTCGCCTGCTCCGCGTTAGTGGGCGACTTAAAAATACCCAGAAAGTAAATAAATAAATTCGAGTAATTGTATCAATCTTCTTAGAGACTCGTTGACAAGCGCGCTTTATGTTTCAGACATTCCAAAAGCTTCCGAAGGCAGTCCAACGAAGGTAGAGTCGCAGGAGGCTCAGAGCGAGAAGTCAGAAACGAAGGAGTCGCAGTCGCAGGAGCCGAAGGATTCGAACGAGTCGCAGGAGGAACAGAAGGAGGACACAGACGCGGATCAGGAGAGGGAAAAAGCCGCGACGAGGATACAAGCGGCATTCCGCGGCCTACACGTTAGGAAGAGTATGAAAGAGACTGAATCCTCGACAAAGCAGACGGGGACCAAATCCGACTCAGAGCCTACCAAAGAACAACTTCAGGAGGAATTCCGCGCCGACGACAAGGGTGAGTGTCACGTACGAACCCTCGAAATCGTCCCACAGAGAGATCTCCAATTTAAGAATTCCCTTTCACCCGTCGATTCGCGTCGACTCCGTTTCGAAAAATGCCTTCGTTTCCCGTGCCAACAGGGAAATCGTAGATTTTCGTTGAACATCCCCGAACGAAAGACCCTGGAAACTGCTTCGAACTCCCTTTGATCGCTCCCCCGTGCATCGCGATAACCCTTTGCAGTGTATCTGCCTCATTTGTAATTAGCACAGGAGATTCCTATCTTGGCGCAGTTTGCTCTTGCCAGCCACCGAGCCCAGTATTCTCAGCTGTTAAACAATTTATGTTGCTGGGAATAATTAATCGTTCGCGTGACTTTGTTAACGAGTAAAGGTTTGATGTACACGGATTCGAGGGAATTTTTAATATTTGCGAAAACGAGAATTTAAACGTTAGTAATCAATAGAACCCTCTGTTCTTTTTAACAAAAGAACTTCGCAAGGATTTTTTGAAATGATTTCTAGAAATGTTTGCTAAATTTTTAGTTGGGTCATAGGGATTGAAAAAAAAATTCAAGTATCACAAAGACGAGAGTTTAAACGTTAAGAATCAATTGAACTTTGTATTGATTTTTATTGTATCATTAGAAAAAGATAATTTAAAGAAATAATTTCTTGAGTATTTGTATGGATATCCATGAATAAACTTGTACTTTTTCAACAAAATTTTAGTTTATCCATTACTGTGAGTGGTAGAATTTTTTTTTTATAGATTTTTACATGCCGAATTCAAACCTGGTCGCGAAATTTGTCTAGCATTTAAGGAATTTGAGAAAAGAACGATTTAAGTGAAAAAATTGTTCAATATAGTGATTTTTTCGATCAAATGTTTTAATAAAGCGATATAAATATATGCATCGTATTTATTTACATAGAATATCAAATAATGAATATAAATAAAGTAGTATGTTAATGACATAAAATGGTAGTGTCATACTCACTCCCACTCTCTTCAGTCATCGGACTGCAAAGTATTATAAATTATATACACTGAATAACTAGATAATATATAAATTTACAGAAAGTAGGACGAGCGAAAGAAATAACAATGAATGAATGATTTTAAAGTAAATTTTTAAAAGTGTCATTTGACACCGCTTAGTACGTTCAGTGTAAATATCCGTATGTAATACGGAAAGAATATAGTATTGTAAAATGGCTATGTGAATCTGACACCCGATTTTCAGAAAATTATCTTTCTTTTATACAAAATAGTATTACATAATATTTCGTTTGTAGCTGATTATAGTAACAACAGTTTTGTTTGTAGTGTTTTCAATTATCAAATAAAAAAAATGGAGAAAATGACGCGCACCCGACTTCGAATCTGTTTTTTCCACTTGATTCAGAATCGTTTGTAGTTGTTTGTAGTGATTTCCCTAAAGAGGGATTTAGAAGCATTGAAAATTCACAAAGTTAATTCTTGGACGGTTAAGCAAATGTTAATACTCCTAAAGCATTCTAGTACAAACGAAAGGAAAATCAACTACAAACCATTCTGAATCACATCGAAAAAGCGAATTTGAAAAATATTAAAAATTAACGAAGTTAGCTCTTGGGAGGTTAAAAAATTGTTTATAACTGTTAATCTATTCAACTTCAAACGAAACGAAAATCACTACAAACAACTACAAACGATTCTGAATCACGTGGAAAAACAGATTTGAGATATCTCGAAGTCGGGTGGAGGTTATTTTCTCAATTCTTTTTATTTAATAATTGAAAAAAAAAAACAAAAAAGAAATTGTTGTTACTACAGTTAACTACAAACGAAATACTATCATTTTATATAAAAAAAAGTTAATTTTTTGAAAGTCGCCAGGTTCACAAAGCTTTTTAAAATGTACTTAAATGAAACTTTTAATTTCACTGTGATTGAATACTGTGACTAAAAACACTATCTCGACAGATAAATTAATGTGGTAAAACTGAGTTCCAATGGTTACTTTTCCTTTTTGGAGGAGTAGGAAATCTCTGTCTGGCGTTGGTTGAGTACGGAAAAGGGACACTTAATTTCAAGGAGGATTCCCTTCAAGTATCTGACGCACAGAAATCCTTCTGATGGGGACCGACAAGTAGGTCGGATAGTGTTCGTACGCGCCCAGGTCCCGCTCGCACGCATAAACGATACGTACTGACTGCAGCCGCCGTGCGTCGAGACCTTCGCACGTCGAAAAATGCCCCGTGTGGACGGGTTTTGGGCGGAATTTCACGCGTCCGCAGGCCCGTGCGTCGAATTGTTCGTACGTCGAAAAATGGTCTCGTGAGTACGTACCTTTATAATAATGGATTCGATCGAACACGACGCGCTTGCTGATCGTTGCTAGATGCGTTCTCTAACGTAAACACGTCGTATTTCTCGTTACATGCAATCAGCTCGTCAACTGACATTTTTATTAGCCATGCAAGCCACGACTTCGCAATTCCACGTGCCTCTTATCAGACCAATTGAGACAGGATTCGTATTTGCCCTGCATATACGAATGAAATTGCCAACACTATTTCTCGTGCTACCATCGTAACATTTGTTATTAAATATTATCATTCAATAAAATCATTCGTGTTGAGGCGCTCAGTGAAATGAAATAATTAATCATTAGGTGTTTATAGAGCACGTTTAGGACGGTACATTATTCACTACGTTGAATTATTTTCTTTTAATTAGAGAAAAGACATATTTAAATGCTTGTCATTGCGTGTGCTATTTATTACTGTGAAGCTTACAGTGTCAGTAATTAGTAATTATGCATCATTGACAAATGTTTATATTTTTTGTCTAATAAGAATTGCTCTCGTCGAAATGTCTCTAAACGAAGGGGAAAAAATAAGAAGCTATAGTATCATTGTTCTGTAGAAATACAATATTTTTTAGGAATAAAACAAAACAGGAAGAACGCTAATTTTAATTAGAGATAAAGTATATCACCCATAGTCGGTGGTATGAAAAATATTTGACAGATGTAAAAATATTAATCTCACCTGTAATTGATCCCATGAATTGTTTTTGTTGATAATTTCATTATTAGAACGCAATTAAAAACGACAAATAACTGTAGTATAATCTAAAACAACAAGGAAAAGAATTTTCATGGGAAAATACTTAAATCAAAGTGCAAAATATACGAATATGGAATATACACGCAGATTTTTCTATGACACTGAAACATTTGATTGAAATATATTCTTTTGTTTATCGTTTCATTGGACAATGTTTGCAGCGTGAAAGTGAAAAGTAAATAAACGTTAACCGCGAGAATATAAATAGTTGAGGGTAAATGTTCAAAGAGGGCGAGATGTAGCTGAAACGTTGTTGCTAAACCAAACTTCAGACCATCAGATAATTTCATAAGTTTTTCGCGCTGTGCAAACTGTTGAGACGGAATCAGCCTACACAAACATAGTTTTACCCGGTTAAACTGCAAGACGTCCATCAAAGTACATTCAGTCTTAAGCCATTCGTTGAAGCGTGCTTAAGCAAGATAGATGGTATTTTTCAGTTAAACACAACCTTAAGAAAATTTACATTGAGCTTTCTGCTTTAGAAGCAAGTAAGATAAAAAGGTGATTCATCACAGAAATGTTGACTCAAAAGTAAATAAAAGACCATTTATCCTTTTCAGGCTGTACTTATTTTGCTTGTAATAAACAGAATTAAATTAAACATTAAATCAATTTCAATACCTACCAGTAAAAGAAGTGTTTTTCTAAATATTCAAATATATATTATTATTGACTGAATGTTCAAATGAATTTAAGTACCCGTAAAAAAGGGCGTTTTTCTAAATATTCAAATATATTTTATTATTGGTTGAATATTGGCCAATACAACGGTAAAGTGACATATTCGTAAATGTCCTTTAAATGAAACACTGATACATACAAAATTAACCCATAATACATATTAATTTTGCAATAAAATTATCATATCATATGATTTATAAATTTCATTATAAATACTAATTCCTTGCTTATAGTGGTGACTTCCATATTACAATATTTAAAATATCTAGCAAATTAAACCTACGTGTACGTACACATATGTATGTATGTATTTGCTGATATCCTCAAAGAAGTTAAATTTACATCTATCGTCTCTAAATTAAGTATATAGTCTGCGCAAATGCCCAGAGTGGGCAGAAATTGTAGGCAGGCAGTCTTGTAGGTTGAGTACTGTAGGATTAACGTAAGGTTCGCATCATAAAACTTGAATTTTTGGCTCGAATGCTTGAGCGTTCCTTACAGCGAAAATGAAAAACAGTAATCTAGGAAATTGCTATTTTGGCATGTGCACGGTTTCATTCCTTAACGAAGACAGTTTAAAAGCTTTGATCACCCTACTTTAGTCGCGTTTCAAGAAGTTTAATCACCGTAACTCTGGGCTTTTGTTACCTCAATTTTTTCATCCTTGGAATTATGATGGGAATGGCCTTAAAAATTTGCCAAGGTTGCAGTACAGCATGTCATGATTACAGAGTTTAATTAAAATCCAAGTTTAATGCACAGCACATCGTGGTTAAATATTTCTATGGTTTATAGCCTTATGTGCGTTAAATGACCTATTTAAAGTATGTTGTTCAGCAATGAAATGTAATTTGGTTGGCGTAGGAGTAATGGCGTGAAGCAACTTTATTTATTTATGTGACTGGGTTTAAGGTCAATTAATTTGCGCTCTCGTTCTTAAAGCTAAAGAATTACATTTCACACATATTTATTAATAACAATTTTGGACGTTATTGATAATAATTAACTTTGTCCTTATATTCTAAGCTCTTTTGAAAGGCACGTATTTTTACACAATTGATTCACCATTATTTGTATTTCTGCAAAATGTTTTTAGGACAGCTTTTCCTGATAGTCAACAAAATTAAAACCAATAATTAAAAGCAAAAATTGTTTAACTTAATACAAATTTAATACGAATAATTTCGCTTCCCTTCTTCCGTAGAAATGTTAGAA